CTTGAGCTTTATTTAAAATGTTATTTTTTAGTTTTATTCCTAATTTGTTTACCCAACTCTATTATAAATTTGGTAGGTGTATTATTTTAAGTTTATACTTTCTGTGGCAACTTTCATAGTTTGATCCACCTGGAAGTCAATTAATTCTTGATTAATATTAGTTTTTAGTTGTCACATTCTTATCGGCTGAAAATAGGATTATTTTCCCTTTCAGGATTAATTTTAATGGCCTGAGATGTTATAGGAATGCATATTCAGAAGATACAGACAGTTATAACTTATTTTTTACAAATGTTATAGATATTTTTTCCTGATCTGGGAAATGTGACTTAGTTCTTTTTAAGTCTTGTGTTGTTGTCTTGCCTTTGATTTTGTATGACTAACTTTTTATACCAAATTGAATAACCCATTAGCTTTTAGTCTGTAGGAATGTGGATCCATAGATATTTCCCATTAGACAAAAGAAAATCTATAAAAGCAGTATCCCCTGGGGCTCAGTTTTCCTAGAGGCCTAATGGTCTAAAGCACTGCTAGACAGTACCCTTATGAGAAAGAACTATCTTGAGTGATTCCCTTGACATCCAGAAATATTAATTGGAGAGATGTGCATATCCTTTCAGGTAGCTTTACCTTTTGTGTTATACTGCATTTATTAATCAAATATTCTGATTCATGAAATTCATGTTATGAATTTTTAATTTTTAAAACTATTGCTATACAAAATCATACATTTTTTATATTTGTTATAGTTTTAAATTAGAGTTTGCTAAAATAATGCACATACTATATTTAAGAAGCCATGTTTTTTGAAAAGGTTTTTTTATGCTTTAAAAAAAAAGACTTCAAAAAAGATCTTCCCTGGAGATGGTTGCACAGGTCTGTAAAACCCTCTGAATGATACAGAGAGTGAATTGTGTGCTATGGGAATTATATCTCAATAAAGCTAATATTTTAAAGAAAAATTTCCACTTCACAAAATGCTTTCATAGATGCAAACCAATAGAATTTCAATTTATATTTATGATCAAAAGTTTATGAGCCTTAATAAACAGTGCTTTAGAAATATAAAATTATACATAGCGAAGTAGTTTGTGTTCTTATTCATTAGTAATATATGTTTATTATAGAAACTTCAGAAGCTATATATAAGAAAAAAGATGTTTAGAGACATGTTTGGGGCATTTAATTTTCCTATCATGTATTTCATTCCTAAGCTTTCCTAGTATGTAACTATTTTCTTTGTGTCCGTACTTTGCTTTGCCAGCTTTCATTGGTAATATATTTACTTTTCATGAGTATTTTAGGAAAAAATATCAGATGTAAGTATTTTCTTATAAAAATCTAGTGACATCATTGGCTTTTTTTCTCTGAGACTATGAGAATGTAAATGAAAGCAAGCAAAAGCATCATCTAAAAAGAAATTTTGATAAAGATATTATATAATAGCTTTTGAAATATATTTAAGTTTTTCTTGAAAACATTTTGAACTTAAAATGAGAACTAGAATGTTTGATAAATGATTTTGACACATTGGTTCTTGTGTAAGTAGAATTTTTTTCTGGCTCTTTAAAGACTTATTATCATATTTACCATTAACTTTCTAACAGCTAGAATTGTTCACAACACTGTTTAAAGATAAATTCTTTGATTTTTTTTGGTAAATATTAAGACCTGAGTACAAAATGAGGGCTGTATTGTGGATTAAGTGAAGTATCTCAAGGCTGTGCTGTTCTGATAACTGAACCTGAAGTGACCTTTCTCAGACACAATTACAGAGCTGTATGTTTTTCCTTTAATTTCATCAGGGGTTTAATTAGTATACAAATAAAACTTCCCTTATCTTCCTTTCTACCTAATTGGCTTGTCTTCACTTATATATGAAGTATGTGAAAGTGGGCTGTAATTAGGGTGACCGTGTTAACCTTTTTTCCTCAAACGTACTGTTGCCTAAAGGCCTCAAGGCCTAAAAACAGTGCTTTGAATTATTGCTTTGCAATCACTATGGCTGTCCCATAGGTTTTCTCATGAGCAGAAGGGCTTTGGGTGCTGCAGGTTCCCACTGCTTAACAGGATCTTCATTCTTCTCCCCACTAAATGTTTATTGATTATCTCGCTGTTCCAGGCTCAGCCTCCAACAGCTTAATATCAGGTGACAGTCAGGAGAGTTCTCCAAGTAATTAGAGTTGAGCATTGGGGGAACAATTAGGAGCAGAGTTATTAAACTTGATTTATCCTATTCTCTACTGAACAGTTTCTTGGATATCAGAACATCACACTTTCACAATCTACCCTGGTTGAGAAATTAGTGGCTAACCTGCTGCTTATCATTGTTGCCTTGCTGCCTAGAGGCACACCCTCTTGGTTTCAGTCATTTGGTAGGAAATGTTATGAGTCCATAAAGTTTATCATAGGTTTTAATTAGATGAATTTGAACAGGAGAAAAACTGAACTTAAAATGTATATTTCTTCTATATATTATATACATATATTCTATAGATATATAAGTATATGATTTATACAAATAATTTTGCTATAATTAAAGCTCAGTGCAAGGTTTTTTAAAAGATTCTGTTTTTGTCATAAAAAAGTGACTGTTAGAGACAAGATGTATTTTTGAACCACATTTTATGTCTTGGTGTTTTGCATACATTAGCATAAACCTTAGGACCTATTGATGTGTGTACATTCCTTGGAGATGTCCCTAAACTCTTTAAAAGTAGAATTCTATGCCTATAAGTATATTAACCATGATATTTTAGAAACTGTATTTTCATTTTCACATAATAGGAAGTATGATTTATAATACTTGTTCCTTTACTGTGTCCCTGAAATAGCATAGGCTTTAGAAGAATTTGATAGCTCCCTGTCATTGCTCCTAAGAGATGAAAATGAAAGAATGATACCAGAAGACTTAGATGTCCAATAGAAGTTTTAATGCTAGGAGTTATGTCTTCTTTTAAAGTATACTATATGCAGAAACATCAGGTGTGGTTTTAGAATAACCCAGGCTCATGGGTTTTCCCAGATTGGACCAGTGAGCTTCAATCTAGACAAGGCTGGAAACAATATACGGAACCCTTGAACAGTCCCCTCAGATAGGCCCCTCACAAATAGGCTCAGAGTTGCTGAGCAAGAAGATTCGAATATTCTGTTGGAAAAAAGTTTAAGCTTTATGTGTAACTGGTGATGGATCATTAGTATTATCTTCATACCCTAAAAAAACATTCATTTTATTTCCTAAAAGTGTTATCTTGACTTTAAAAGGACTCAAATGGGGTTTAGTTTTAAATGAAGAAATCTCATGATGCTTTAGTGCATTTCATTATCTTAACATTGGCATAAAATTAGGCTTAGAGTAGTTTAAAAAAATCTATCATTTGTCGTCTTTTTAAAGTTAATTTAATCCAGTTATTATTTCATGGTGGAATGTTCTTTTTTAAAAATTTAAGATAAATTTATTTTTAACTGATACATAAAACCAAAACCCCTTTCTACCTATGGGCTACCATGTGATGTTTCAATACATATGTAGATTTTATGATGTTTAAATCATGTCAAACATATATATCTTCTCAAATGTTAATCATTTCTTCATGGTGAAAATATTCAAAGTCCTTTCTTATGTCTTTCTAAAATATGCAGTACTTTACTATTTTCTATAGTCACCCTACCATCCAACAGCACACCAGAACTTTTTACTCTTATCTAACTGACTTAATACCCACTGATCAACTTTGGAATGTTCTTGAAGATTTTTCAGTACTAGAGATTTAAAATAGCATTCAGTATCTAATGAGTAATCATGGTTTGCTCATTTAAAATTTTTTGATTCCTGTTCATCTAACAGCAACATGACTGCTTTAAATGTGAGCTACTGAATTTAAAAAGATTCAACATTTTAAAATACTATCTAATTTGAGGCAATTGCTTCCAGAGTGAATTGTTTTAGCTCTATGGAGGCAACTTGAATTTTTAAATTATGTACTGTGAATATTCTGAAAGAATAGTGTTGGAAGAGTTTTAAACATGAAATTATGTGGTTTTTCTTTACTGGATTTGTGAAGCACAGTTTTGGATATTAATGTATGGCTAAATTCTTAGCAAAAAGAAAAAAATACATGTGTATGCAGTTAGTTGTTTAGCTCATTGTTGAAAAACTGATAAACTTATTTTAGAAATTTCATAGACAAAGGAATTTTAGTGGTAAGAGATACTTTGATTCCTATATTATTTTGTGTCCAGGAATCTTGAGATCTAGACAATAGTCCTTTAAATTGTTTCTGATTCTAACACCTTCAGCCCTAAACTTTCAAGATGAAGTTGTACAATTTCATTTTGAAAATTTTCTCCTAAGTGGATATTTCAGATTAAATATCAACATATTTTATACTTCTGTGATCAGGGAGACATTTACAGACTTTTAAATAATTCTGAATGCAAGTACTGTTCTTAACTTTCTGTATTAGTTAAAGGGTGTTGGTCACATTTATGTTGCTATCCTTGCTATGAAGTTTATTTACTGAGAAACAAGTGAATTTTATTGTAAGAGTCCAATTTGTCTACTGGGAAGTCTTGAGAAACTTTTTCTCAATCATATATTCACTTTGGGCATATGATGCTTTTAAAATTCAATTTGGAGTTAAAACAGATTGTAAATTTCATATGCTTTGTCCCCTGAAATCTTTATCTTTCATCATTAAACACAACTTGAGATTTCTATAATCAGATATTTCTAGTGAGAATATAATTTGCTATTCAATACTTTAACAAATAAAATAGTCGTATTTTGTAGCAAAACATTTCTCAAAATCTTATCTGTCCTATCATTTTTCATTAGTAAATGTGTAAAATTTTTCCAGAATATTTGTTAAACCTCGATGTGTAATGACCTAACTCTACTTCTCAGTCAGTCTGTATTTTTCTTTGTTTAATAGCCTATGGCATAAATTGAAGTTAATTATCAGGGCTGACAAGTAACTCTGTTTTCTGTCTGCTTGCAGTGTCTCTCCGAGGCAAAGATGGAGCTGAGAAGAAAAGATCAATCTCTGCGTCAGCTCAATAGACATCTTACCCAGCTGGAGCAGGACAAGCGTCGGCTGGAGGAGAACATCCGTGATGCAGAGAGTGCCCTCCGCATGGCAGCCAAGTGAGCATTTGGACCTCAGGGAGACCACTTAAAACAGACAAAAGATCAATTCTTACTTTCATGCTCCGGGTTTTAGCCCTGGATAATACAGTGTTAGAAAACAAAAGTACAGCTGTCTTTCTTTGAAATTCTCTGATATATTCTCAGAAAAGAAAACTCTTAACATACTAAATGTATGTTTTATTGGGAAGCCTCAAAAAAGTATAAGTTTCCATATAACCTCTAATTATGCATATTTTGGTCTCTGTTATATTGTTACATGTTTTAGACCATGTTTTAATGTGAAATATGACTTTATTTAAAAGTTTTGCATAGTATCTTTTGTCACATATTCCTTATCCCCTTCTCCGCTCTCCTCAAATTCTGAATATATTCTAATATACTAACAATGTAAATAATATTTTCATAAAGAAATGTTAGTATACAATCAACATGTGTGCCATAGTATTTTAAAATGCAACAAAAATATTGACCATAGGAAATCATTTCATAGCTAAATATTTTAGTATATGTGCTGTTGAAGTGAACACTCATAGCTAAATATTCTAATATGTTAAATAGAAAAAAATGTAGTTTTCAGGTGGGCAAAAATGTAAATATGAGTGTTTTTCCTTTATCAAGTATCAAGTTGACATATATTGTTAAATTCAAATTGAACAGTTCTCTTGGACATTTTTATTTGTTTCGCATGTGAATTTTATGGACTTCTTTAAGATAGTCCTTTGTATAATATCATGACTTAAAGTCTTTTTAAGAATTAAACACTGATTTAAATAAATTAAAGTCTCAATTTGGAATTCTTAATTCCTGCACTTGCAAAAACCCATATTAAAATTTTTTTTGAGACAAACTGTTACTAAGCATAAACTATTGTGAAATATGAATATACTCTGTAAACTGTAGATTGTTGTCTATAAATCACAGAACAGGGAATCTGCAGTCTAGGCTTATGATGTCACTCGAGCATAATGATAAGATGAATTATATGAGGCCCAAATATTGGCATGATTGAATATTCACTATTAGTTTTTTCAAAAGTGTAAAGCTATCTAACATTGCACCAACATATTAGGTATATGTAATTGTCATTTTAAAAACTCAGTTTTTTGTTGCTGTTGTTCAGGCTCAATTTCTTCATATCAAGTGGAGAGACTTTGCGTAGATAATTTCCAGTGAGACTTGCAGCTCTGAGAAAATTCTGAGATTAGTGAAAGTAGGATTATAAAACTTCCAGATTCATACTGTGTTTTCACAACATTGCTGTTAAGTCAGGACCTTGACACATCTATGATCTGTGACTATAGGCATATATTCTTACAAAACTAAAGAAGCCTAGTTTGAAATATGGAGAGGTAATTCATTACTTACAGTTTTTGGTTTATAATTTGCTACTAAATTTTTATCTTCAGCATATTTATTCAAACTTTTTAGTTATGAAAGCTCAATTCAATGTACAAGGTCAATAGAAGAAGCTAGTAACTGCATATTCCTTGTCAGTCACAGAGGGTTCTTTGTGTAATTATTATAGGACAAAAAAATCTGTGTAGTAAGGAAAATATTATTTTACATAGTGTAACAATTTATATTTCCCCATCACTAAAAATTTAAGTCTTTTCATTATAAATAAAAAGAATAAATTTTACTTTTTTCAGAATATTTTTATTATCAATTATATAATCATGATTTCTTTTTTCTTTCTTGTTCTCCCACCACCCCCATAGGATAGGCAGCATAAGTGAATATAAGAGCTAAGTGTGTTATCAGTGGATATTATAGGTTTTTTACTTTTAAAAGGAACACAATGATAACCAACTCCTGTTTATCTTAGTGACTTATAATAAAATGTATAACAGTTGCAGAAAGCCTGGGGGCTTTACTCATATCCAATCTTTCTTTTTTCTAGAGACAAAGAATGTGTTGTTTATCATATGAGAACAGTAGGAAGTATGCTTCGTAAGGTACTATAATTTTTCTTTAATGTTCAGTTTTTATTATGGTACTTGTAGTTATTTTTATTAACTACCAAGCACTTTAATTTGTTACTATCTTTAAAAATTAACAAAAAGTTATTTTAGAAATGACTGAAATCTTGCTTTATATGATGCTGGAATGTTTTTTTTTTTTTTTAAGAATCACTGTAGGTACTTGAAAAAAACCAGTTGTTTCTTCAAACTAGTGTGATTGTACTTGAATTATCTATAGTATTTGCTGAAAAAACCCCGAGGTCTCTAAAATTCTTCATGTCTCATACTGATGAAATATTTGTTTGAGCACACTGTTTAACCTCTTATCACTCTTAAATAGTTGTCTTAGATATGTATACATATTTACATAATGTATTTTATTTGGCAATATTCATATGCTTTAACTTAGCAGTAACGTTATTCAAATTGAGATTTACCTTCTTACTGTTTTTGTTTTCTGGTACCAGGGATTGAACTCAGGACCTTGAGCTTGCGAGGCAGGTGTGGTGCCACTGAGCTAAATCCCTAGCCCAAGATTTACCTTCTTATAAGTGAAAATATATTTAATAATCCATTATCTTCAAATTTTATTGCTTTTGTATGATAAACTGACTTTAATTAATTTGTAGTGAACAGCATAAGAATATTGCGATATTAGTGAAAACTTAAGATATGAAACAGCTGTATTTTTTTTTCTGGGGATTGAACTTGGGTCCTTGCACTTGCACAGCAGGCGGCCAAACCACTGAGCTAAATCCCCGGCCCCTGAACAGCTGTATTTTGTTAGCATCTATTCCACATTCAAAAATGTCTTCATTATTTTGTTATTTAAAAGTAGAGAAGTGTTATTTATGTATTTCTGTTTCTTCCTAATAGACAAATTTGTTGAGAATGCAAACATAGTACTTTTAAGATATATAGAATTTATGAATGAAACATTTAGAACCACTTTGTGAACCAAATTTACTGTAGTTTTATAAATCACTGATTATACCCTAAAACTAACTTTTTAAAGGGGATATTAAATAAACATTAATGAACTAATATCTAATCATTTTAATATTTTTTAAACACTGGGCTTCTCTATTCTTTTACATTTTGAAAATGACTCATTATTTCTCATCAGCATTTGGAAAAAAATCCAGTATTCTGAGTTTCCAATATTCTTTTCTCTTAGTTGAAACCATGATTTTTTCCCTCCTAATTTAATAGTTTAGCCCATGAATTTAGTTTAAATATAGTCACATCAAACCCATGTATGCTGCAAATTTGAAATTTAGATTTTCAGTAAAAAGGACATCTTTGGTTAGATTTTTATACATGCTGAATCTGAAGATATAAAAGTCAGTTGTGTCATGTATGTGGTATACCCCTGTATACAATTAATGTTGACTTTGAGATCCAATTGTTCATCATTCTAGCTGGAAGAAAAAAATGGTAAGGTAGCAGTTGACTTGGGAATGGAATTCGATGTCAGGGAAAAACCATCATTGATCTGAAATATGTTATACCTTCTTTCCTATGAGAATGGCAAGATAAATGTCTTAAGTTTTAAAAAATTTCATATTTTTATTTAAAACTACATAGTATTCTAGACTGCAACAGTAAATTGTATGATAAATTTTTTATTTTTTTTTGGTACCGAGGATCGAACTCGGGTTCTTGTGCTTGTGCAGCAGGCAGCAAAACCACTGAGCTAAATCCCCGGCCCTGTATGATAAATATTTTAAATATAATACTGATTGCCAAAGGGTGATTATAACCATAAAGATAAAGTTCTCCAATTGTAGTTCATCTTTTGTTTCTTTGTGTCGCATGGAAAAAAGATGTCTGAAAAATTGGGCAACAAACTGTAGATTTATTTTTGTTGTATGGCTTTTTCCCCTCTCAAATTTAATTATTTTGATTTATGTCTTTGTAAATTTCTATTTATATAGTGGTTTTTAAGTTACTTAGTTACTTTTCAAGCTTGAAGTGAAAATTTAGGAAATCTAATTGATAAGTAGAGCTAACTCTCTCCAGTGAAGTGTGGGTGAGAATGACATGGCTAAGGAAGTGGCCCTCAGAGCCCCTTTGAAGATGTCCGGGGAGGGCAGTCCCAACTGTCTCTGTGACCTAGTCCACAGGGTTTTTTTCTGGCCACTTTGGGCTTTTCCCTTGTCATTATGCTGGTCTTGGAGAAACAGAGGTGTATAGAAAGAGGGCCCAGGCTTGTTCATGGTACCGTAACAATGGTTGTGATTACATTCAAACTCCTTAGCAAAGTACTGTACATAGTGGATAGCATACCTGTTTATATTTCTTATTTCTTTAACACATTTTAAAGATATGTAACATATTCTAGAATAAAACTAGTTTTTACCTGTTGAATTGAATTTTAATATTAACTTCTGACACAATAATCAAGCAGAAACAATTTGTTTTCATGTAGACATTCTTTCGCATTTTATTTTTTATTTTTATTAGTACATAATACACTGTGGGGAGTTGGTTTTCTTGCATTTTAAACAATTGAAACTAATCATATTTGTTTATAGAAAAATCTGTTAACATTTTATTTATATTTGTTAATATTTTAAAAATCTTAAAACTATATTACACAAAACAGTTGTCTAGATATTTTTAAAGTTCCACTTGGGCTAATACTAGTATTTAATAAGGAAAGCTAGTCATTTTCATGTAAAAGTATCTACAGTAGACTCTCCATATCCACCAGTTCTGCATCTGTGGCATGAGACAACCACAGATAACAATATTTAAAAAAAAAATTGTGTCTGTAGTGAATATATGCAGACCTTTTTTCTTGTCATTATTCCCAAAACAGTAGAATAAAGCAGCTATAATGCTATTTACGTAACATTTACATTGTTTTATGTGTAATCTAGAGATTATAAGTGTTTTATAAGTAATCTAGAGATGATTTAAAATATAGAGGAGGGGCTGGGGCAGTAGCTCAGTGATAAAATGTGTGCTTAGCATGTATGAAGTCCTGGTTTCTATTCCCAACACAATAAAATGAAATAAAATGTTTGTGTGTTATGTGAAAATATTATGTCATTTTACAAAAGGGATTTGGCATCCTTTGGATTTTGGTATTTTAGGGCGGGTTAGGTATGTGTCCTAGAATCTGCTGTAGATATTGAGGGATGATTGTACTTTTTTTTGTTTTGTTTTTTGGTACCAGAGATAGAATTCGGGTCCTTGAGCTTGTGAGGCAGGCGGCAGAACCACTGAGCTAAATCCTTGGCTGTACTTTTTTTTGAAGAAGTTTTCTTTTAATTGCATTCAAATACTTTCATATATGTATATATATGTGTGTGTGTGTGTGTGTGTATGTTGTTTATGCTCATTTTAAATGTAGATCAGAAGTTAATTACCTGTTAAGATACCCTTTTTTGGGGGACCAGTGTCAGGTTTGGGGGCTAAGAAAAATAAGAACAAGAGAACAGTAAGTACAACTTTTCATAATATGCCTTTCTTTATACACTCATTTTTGAGTTAAATTCTTGGCTGTTTTTGAAAAAGTCACAATTATTGAACTTGTTTTGAAAAATTCACCATTTTAACATTAATTTTATTGTTACATTTTAGGTATATTTTAACTATTTTAAAATGCACAATTCATTGGCTTTCAGTACATTTGCAATGTTGCACAACTATTATAGTGATCTAATTCTAGAACAATTACATGACCCCAAAAGAAACATTGTGCCCATGAAGCAGTTATTTCTTATATCTCCTTCTACTTTCTGATAAACACAGATCTCTCTTTTTTCTACATGGATTTCCCTATTCTGGATATTTTGTACAGATTCAGACAATACAGGGCCTTTGTTTGGCTTCTTTCGTTTAGCAAAATTTGTTCAAGATTTATCCATTTTGTGGCTTGGTATTGATATTTCATTCCTTTATATAGACAGATATTCTATTGTATGAATATATCACATTTTGTTTATATATTTGTCATCATCCAATTATATTCTTTCAATTTTTTAGTTGCTATGAATAATGCTGCTGTGAATATTGATGTCCACATTTTTATTTGAACACTTCTTTTCAGTTCTCTTCAGTATGTAGGTGGGAGTGGAATTACTGGATCATAGGTAATATTATGGTTAACTTTTTTTTTTGGTACTGGAGATCGAACTTGGGTCCTTGCGCTTGTGCAGCAGGCGGCAAAACCACTGAGCTAAATCCCTGGCTACTGTGGTTAACTTTTTGAGGAATCACCAATCTGCTTTTGCATAGTGGCCATACCTTTTAAAGTCCCCAACAGTATATGTAAGTGGTCCAACTTTTCTACATCCTTACCTATACTAGTTTCTGTTTTTTGAAAAATGGCCATCTTAGTGGGTGTGAAATAGTATCTCATTGTGGTTTTCATTTGCATTCCCTAATGACTAATGATGCTGAGCACCTTTTCATGTGATCACTGATTCACTGTATGTCTTTGGATAAATATTCAAATCTTTGCCCTTTTTTAAATGGCTTATTTTTTGTTGTTAAGTTTTAGAAGTTCTGTATATTCTGAATATTAGAATCTTGTCATGTATATGATTTGAAAATATTTCTTCCTTTATATAGGTTATATTTTTAACTTCTGTCTAGATGATGTCTTTGGCTGGATACACAAGTTTCAAATTTTGACAGAACCTATTTTTTTCTTTCATTCCTTTGTGTATCTGACCTATCTAAGAAACCATAACCAAATCCAAAGCCATAAAGATTTCCTTCTATGTTTCCATCTAATTTCATAGTTTTAGCTCTTATATTTAGGCCATTTGTCCATATTGATTTAATTAGCACGAGATAAGATCTAAACTTCATTCTTTTACATGGGTGTTCTGTCATTCTACCACCACTTGTTGAAAGGACTTTTCCTCGATGAATGACCTTTGTACTCTTTGTGGAAAAGCCTGTGACCATATAGATATATGTATTTATTTCTAGACTCTCAGTTGTATTCCATAGATCTATGTCTATCTTCATACCAG